AGGCGGCTGTCAGCCCCTCTGGGTGCCCCGCGGTAGGGGGAGGGGCAGGGCGCTGGCAGCCCACCCCCAGCGTAGTCTGCACTTGGCAGTTAGGGGAGACGGGTGCAGGGCACGGTCTGTCCCTTGCCCGTCCTGCGCTGAGGACAGATCTCCCTCCTCCCCGTCTGCACCCAGGGTCTAAGTCCTTTGGCAGCAGTGGTGCGGGGAGAGACGGGAGGAGGGGGCTTCGGAGGAGGCTTCGGAGGAGGCCTGGCAGGTGGTCCTGGCTGCAGAAGGAGCTTTGTTTTGCAGCACGAACTCCTGCCTGTCGTGGTTCTGGGCACTCTTTGATAATGGCTCTTTGTTTCAGTCTGAAGAAGATTTTCTTGAAAGGAGGAAAGAGGTGGAAAGGCTCCTGAAGAAGAATGCAGACTGGATATGGGACTGGTCCAGCAGGCCGGAGAACATCCCACCCAAGTGAGTGCTGGCCGTGTTTCCGGACGAACTTGGACGTGGCTTTTACTTCAGAGGTCTGAACGTGGCTCTGCTAATGCTCTGTCCTGTGTTTTCTTCCTCCAAACCAGGGAATTCCTTTTTAAACACCCCAGGCGCACAGCTACTCTCAGCATGAGAAATACCAGCGTCATGAAGAAAGGGGGGATATTCTCAGCAGAGTTTTTGAAGGTTTTTCTTCCGTCTCTGCTGCTTTCTCACTTGCTTGCCATCGGACTAGGGTAAGTTTCAGTCCAAAAAAAAAAAAACCCAACCCAGAAAGGTACATTTTTTACCTGTTTTCTCTGATCCCAATTCTGACTCCCAGTTCCCTCTCTGCCTGAAGATGAGCAATACCCTTTCCCCATAGAAGGGGGCAGGTGGTTGTTCAGGAAGTGTTTTCTACTTGTCTGCTTGTGGAGTTGCTGAATGGAGCAAGTTTCCCTTTTCTCACTATTGAGAATTTTTCAAGATAATTGAGGGGCAGTGAAACTAGGAGTTAGGTGCGTGAACTGCAGGTACACTTGCACAACACTGGAGTTTTAATCTCACCGCCAACTGTAAAGGAAAAAAATATTGTTGAATATATTTTAAAATTCTGCTCTCACCTGGGAGGGACAGGGACACCAACCAGAACAGGAATTGGTTTCCTTCAGGTGATTCAGGGGTTAAACGACCCTTCTTTAAAAACAGCGACAAGAGGCAGAGTAAAGGGAAGAGGTTGAACACCTTTTGGTCAGGATCAGGTTGGCCTTCGAAGATTCCCAGTGTCAGCGAGGAATGCGGGAGCCCCGGCAGGCCTGGCCGCTCTCCGGGGGGGCTCCCTGTGCCGCGGGGGGGGCTGAGGGGGGAGATCAGGCAAGTTCTGGGGTGATGCCTGAGGAACCGGCCCTCAGCTCCGTCCTGCCCTGTCTGCGCTCCCTTGCAGGGGTCCTGAACCGACCGGGTGTGCGCAGCCGGAAGCTGCGTTCCACGGTAGTCACTTGATTGCCCCCTTGATGGTAGCTGCTGCTGCTGGCAACTGCGTGGCTTGTCAGCCGGGGCCAAGGGCTGTCCTCGGGGGCTGCGTGCTCTGTCCTCGGGGGCTGCGTGCTCTGTCCT